AAAAAGTCAGAAAGTAACAAGTGTTGGAGGGGCTGAGGGGAGATAGGAATTCTCGTCCACTGCTGCTGGACCTGTAGGTATGAACAGCCATTATGGAAAATGATTTGGCGATATCTAAAACAGATGGAGATTGAGCTACCATATGACCCAGCAACCTCCCTACTGGGCATATACCCAGAAGAGTCAAGAAACAAACCCCGGCCAGACACCTGTGCTCCAATGTTCATTGCGGCACAGTTCACAATTGCAAGGAGTTGGAAACAAGACAAATTTCCATCAACAGACCAATGGAATAAAAAACTGTGGCACATACATACAATGGAGTACTACGTGTTCCTAAAATGCAGTGATGAAGGCATGAAGCACATATGCAGCATGGGAAGAACTGGAGGAAATCATGCTAAGTGAAGTAAGTCAAGCACAGAAGGACAAGTACAACATGAGTCAGCTGAGGTAAGCTTAAAAAAAGGGGGGGGGGACCTAGGAGAAAAGCGACTATAGACATACATTCCTGGGGTGAGGTCCAACAAGTATGGCAGGGGCCAAACCCAATCCAGGGATACATACAGCAGCCAACTAAATAAAAGGGGAAAATAAAGACACACACACACAAAAAAAAAGACATGGGGAGGTGGGGAGGGCACTAACCCACCCAAGGGGACGGTATTGTTTATATCTCCACAGGAGGAGAGAGAGACCAGACTTCAACCCGATGCGCCAAGATGTGAATACAACATACCAGCATGTACCAGAGAACCAATAGAGAGGTCTGCTGGCCGGCCCCAATCCCAACTATGTGGACATCCCCCAGCCCCCTGAGAAGAATGCACTTCAAAGGACAGCAGTGCAGCTACAGCTTGGTGATAGGGTTGCGTTGGATTAGAGCACACGGGAGAAACGTAAGGGATGGAGAGAGAGGAGAGGACATCCTGGTCCACCAAGCCCCAAGGACAATGGTCCTGCTCAGCGCAGACAATGCACGGAGAGGTCCATAAGGCCGGCCCCACAACGGGACATGGCGTCCCTCACTGAACCATGACACTACGGGGGACAGCAATGAAGATACAGTGCAAGAACAGTGCACAGTCTGGACCCATTAGGGGGAACAGAGTGATGAAACCCCCGGGGAATACCAAAAATAGACTTAGGAGACAGAGTGCGACACCCCATTAGCCTCGACTGGAAAACACTCGTAAAGGCCAACAAACAGACCTTGAACTGTTTATAGGCTTTTCCATTTTTGTCAGTGGCTTTGTTATTGTTATTTTGTTCTTGCTTCATGCTGTTGTTCTTATTGTTTTGTTGGTTTTCACTTCCTTTGTTGTTTTATTTGGCTTAGCCTGGTTTTATACTTATTAATGTATCTGCATATCTGTCTAAATAAGATATGCAGGATAAATAATTTGAAGATGAAAAGAACAGGACCAGTGGTTCCAAGGGAATACAGGAGAAGGGGAGGTGGGAGAAAGGAAGTGGGGGGACCAACCCAGGGACAAGGGAACAAGTGAACTAAAATCAATGGAAGGAGGTCATATGATGCCTAGTGGGGCTCAATCAAGGGCCAGGTAGCAGTGAGGCATTACTAAGCCCAAATGAAGGCTGAATATGATGGTGGGACAAGAGGGAAGTAAAAAGGAAATAGAGGAAAAAGCCAGGAGGCAAAGGACATTTATAGAGGCCTAAGTACAGGCATGTACATATGTAAATATACATAATGAGAGGGGAATAGCTATGTACTCATATCTATATGTTAAGAATTAAGGTTGCAGATGGACATTGGGCCTCAACTCAAGTACTCCTTTAACACAAGAATACTTTGTTCTAACAATCCAGCATTCTGTGATGCT